ATACAACTAACTATACAAGCACATTTGGGTTTTTTAAAAATAAATGTTTTATTTGGGAATAATTTTGGATTTACAGAAAAGCTGCAAAGATAGTACAGGGACTATCTTGGGTACTCATCACTCATCTTCAATATTAACATCTTATTTCATGTTACATTTGTCACAATCAATAAACCAATCTTCATACATGATTATAATACATAATTAACTAAAGTCAACACTTTATTCAGATTGCTGTTGCTTTTACCTAATGTTCTTTTTCTGCTCCAGGATCTCGTCTGGGATCCCATATTGCACTTAATTGGGCTTGTTTTCGCATCAGCATTAAAAAGTCTTTTTAAGTTTATTTTAAAGTAAAATCATCAACTCAAAATTGAGGAAATATTTTGTCTTTTTGGAGAGTGTAAAGTTTTAGACTTAGGTAGGTCTTAGCCAGGACAGCCATTTTTATAGTTAATTAATACTGTCTTTCCAAATTCAGCAAAAGACACCTTTTCCCCGAAGAAGTAACTATTTACCAAGAGGACTCCCTGTGAAGTCTGAAGTTAGTAGTGGGGTATGGGAAGGGGTGGAGATTTGGGTTCTATGGTGCCCCTGCCCTTAATGGGAAGAGAATGTGCTAGACTCTCTGCCTTCTGGAAATTGGGGGAGAGTTACTCAGCCTCAGTTTCCCATTGTGTCAGAGGCAGATATTGAGCCTTCCATGCAGGGTTACAGTAAAATTAGGTGCAGAGCAAATGAAAGTTGCAGCACTATGCCCAGCACACTAGGACTCTGGAGCCATTTCTGTTATTTTTTATATATATATATTTGAAAAAAGGGAAAAAGAAGCATTTTGGAAATGTTTGCTTAGTAGCTGTTTGTTTTAACTTATTGCCTCTAAGTAAAAACATTTTCTTACACCATCTCTGTCTACAACTACATTATATATATATTTTTATTGATTTCAGAGAGGAAGGGAAAAGGTGAAAGAGATAGAAACCTCAATGATGAAAGAGAGTCATTGATTGGGTGCCTCCTGCACGCCCCATACTGGGGGGATTGAGCCTGCAACCAGGGCATGTACTCTGACCTGGAATTGGAACCGTGACCTCCTGGTTCATAGGTTGACGCTCAACCACTGAGCCATACCAGCTGGGCCCAGATACATTCTTCCTTCTGCTCTTTCTGGATATTTCTTGAAATGATATATGCTTCCCATTTCTTTCCCCATAAAAATCATATCATCCTTCAAGGCTTTGAGCAAATGTCTCCACAAAGCCTTCTCAGATGCTGTAGTGCTGCGGAGAGGACATAACCGGAAGATCTCTGAATCTGAAAATGGGATTGAAAATAGTCATAGTGTGGATGAAAGGAGATAATGTATATGAAATGCTAATCATCATATCCAGCTCATAGTACATTATTCTAAAGAAAAAGAAGAATAGCTTTTCTTTCAGGTAGTGCCAATGAGAATGGAAAGAAAACCAGAAAGTACATACAGGGACAGGCCTCAGTGGTTGATTCCTTGTATGGAAGGAGAGGAGGGGACAGGATGACACTGGGATCTCTAATTTTTGAGCAAGAGAAATGAAGGCATTCATGGAGTTAGGAACAAAAGTGGGTTTTTTGTTTTTTTGTTTATGTGGGGGTTTCATTTTTGTTGTTTTGTTTGAATGGAATGTTGCAACTAGAAGACATGGCACTTGGTCCTAGGCATGTGGAATTTAACAAGTTCTTGGGACACCCAAGATATCCAAAGACTGTTGACTAATGGGTCTGGATCTGAGGAGAGAGGTATTTGAGTGTCTCTTTCTCTTTCTCTCTTTCTTTCTATCATGGGCCTAAGTCATCTTTCAACTCATTTGAAGGATTATAACTTACAGACCCATGGTTTAGACTCTAGAGCAATGGTTCTCAACCTGTGGGTCGCGACCCCTTTGGGGGTTGAACAACCCTTTCACAGGGGTCGCCTAAGACCATCGGAAAACACATATATAATTACATATTGTTTTTGTGATTAATCACTATGCTTTAATTATGTTCAATTTGTAACAATGAAATTGGAGGTCACCACAACATGAGGAACTGTATTAAAGGGTCACGGCATTAGGAAGGTTGAGAACCACTGCTATATAATGTTTCTTGCTTTGAATTCTACATTGTCTTACGATAATATTGCTACCTCAAATTTTTTTCACTTACATGCCATAATTTTGACCACTGCTGGATTTTATCTCTTCTAACATGTGAGTTATTTTTCCACTTTACTTAATTTTTTACTTGTTAAAACTGAGATTTAAGAAACTCATATAATTTACCATCTTAATCATTTTTAAGTTGCAGCTCAGTAGTGCTAACTAGATTCACATTGTTGTGTAACAGATCTCTAGACCTTTTTCATCTTGTAAAACTGAAACTCTGTACCCATTGAATAACAACTCCCCTATTTCCCACTCATCCCACCCCTGGGCAAACACAGTCCTTTTTCTATGTGTTTGACTATGTTAGATATCTCATATACATGGAATCGGATAGTATTTGTCTTTTTATTAGTAGCTTGTTTCACTTAGCATAATGTCCTCAAGGTTCTCACATGTTGAACATGTGATAGGATTTCTTTCCTTTTTTAAGGCTGAATAATATTCCATTGTGTGTGTATAGCACATTTTCTTTATCCATTCATCTTTTGATGGACATCTGGGTTGAGGAAGCTACTATAAATAGTGAGTGACATGAATGTGAGTACCTCTTGGCTATTGTGGATAATGCTGCAATGAACACGGTGTGCCTCCAGATGCAGACATTAATCCAGCTCATGCCTGAAGATGGTTTGGACTATAACTAAAATGGCAGGCTTGAGCTGGCAGGGAGGAGACGTGGATCCCATCTCTGGTTGTCTGAGAGCAACAGCAGAGTGAAGGAGAAATACCGAGTGACTCAGAGCAGAAAGTTTCCTGTCTGAAAGGGCATTCATAGGCCGACCCTGTGCCAGACACCATGCTCGGCACTTTCCTATGGAAGGAGAAGTGTGGGAGGTTTCTTGAATTTAAAAAATGATGACAATACAGTTGTTGTTTTTTTCAAATTCCCATGATGAAAACAGAAACAGGCCCAGCAGAGGAGGATATGAGAACCTCAGCATGGAGGTGTTATTTGGAAAGAGAGTTCATTGTGAAAAGAATATATTCACACTTCAAATATAATACAGACGACTGAAATTTAAGCTTAACATGTTTTCTGACTGTTGGGGTGTGGATTATGATAATAAAGAAAGTGGTCTGTGTGGCTGATGAGACAGAAACCAATCTCTCAAAGGATGCAAAAGCCCCGGCCAGGGTTATAGCCTGATGTTCTGAACTCTCTAGGTTGTTTACTCTCTAAAAGAACTTCAGTTTCCCTTGGGTGGGGGGGGGGGGGGGGGCAGAGTCTGGATCTGGACCCCGGTCATGCCTATGGGTGGTATTCCTAATAAAATCAGTTCATACACAAAAGTCAAGACCAACTATGAGTTTCTCTGGGGACTGGGAACTATGCTTTCAAGGAGAGAAAGGAAAACCACTACAAACTTAAACGACTTAAACTTTCAGTGGTTTCTCTTAGTCCATCATTTCAGTCCTTAGAGAAGAGGAGAAAGAATATTGCCCACTCAACTTGTTGGTACTTTACTGGAGCTTCTTTACTTGTAACCATAGCAAATATGCTTATTTTGTGGGACAGGGAAGCAGAGAAGGCGCTGGCCTGGGAGTCTGAGATGGGTCCAGTTCCAGCTTGGCCACTGAGCAGCTGGGTGGCTTTAGACATGTGCCTTCCCTCTTGACTATCAGCCTACCTTCTGTAAATCCCTGCAGCACTCAGACTGGACACTTCGTCCATTTCAGCTCTAACACTCTGTGAATTAATGATATCACTTGTACCTTGGATGCATTCTACTTTTTATTTGGCATTTGTTCATTTGATACATATATACATATATAAAAATCTGTACATGTTAAAAATACAAAATATTTCTTTATAAGTTATGCAATTAAACAGCTACCTTTTTAAAGTTTAAAAACCATTGCAAAAAAAAAGAGAGAGAAGGAAATCTAGTCAGTCCTTTCGAGTCACTCACAATAACCTTGGTATAAAATATCCATACAATACATGTGTACAAAATAGTGTACAGTTCATAAAAGCTGTGCAAAGACAGCAACGTTCGGTAAAGAAAATAATATCAAAGAGGCTTGTGGGTCTCTCTCTGTTCATCATGCCCAGTGCTCAGGAGCTTTGCAGGTCAGCGAAATCTCCCCAGAAATAATACAAGGGCACAAGATAGAGTGCTTGGTGCATAGACTATGGATGCAGAAATTCTTTAAAAAAAAATAGCTTTAACACACACATACAGAAATAGAGACTGACTTTTCCTCCCATTTAGGGAACTCAATTCTTTGCCCAGAGAGTGTTTAGAATATGACAGGAAAGACTCAGGATTTATGTTATACCTTTCTTTCTTTTTGGAAATTCTTGAGTTTTCTCAGGGCAGTGTCATGGGAAGACTGGTTACCAGGATCTGGAGTTGGGTAGGAGGCCCTTGCTACCCCAGATAGGGGGGTGGAGGGATCTAGGAAGTCAGGGGTCTTGGAGTTAGAAGCTTGTTGCGGCTCCTACCTGGGTTTCCTCCTCCGCACAGGGTCTCCCACCTCATAGGGTTGTCGCTGCTAAGGACCAGCAGGGCCTGGCTCCCAGCTAAACCCAGGCTTCGAGGGAACGCCCCACCGTGTTTAAAATAGCTTGCAGGAAAAATGGAGGGGAGCCCTTGTGTACAAGTTAAGGCTGGGGCTAAGGCCTACATTTAACTTGTGGGGAGAGGGCTGTTGAGGGGTGGTGCCTGGGAAGGAAATGTTCCTTTGGGCCATGGAAGGGGCTGGGGCGCCCTGGACAAGGCGACGGGTCCACCGCGGGAACTAAGTGAACACCCACTGCACCCAACTCTCCCATTTCAAAGCACTTAGAAACAGTACCCCGGGCCAGGGGGGCTTCTAAGACACCGTGATCTCCTCCTCCTCCTCGCCCTCCTCATCCTCCTCGGAGTCCGAGAAGTCCGAAGGTTTGCCCGGGCTGCTCGAGTGCGCGGGGGAGGCGGGCAGTGGCCCTGCGAGTCGCGGGTCGCGCAGGTGCCGAGGGTCGAGGGACGCGTGATAGGCCAGGCGGTGGCGGGGGCTGGCCCGGCCCTCGTCTTCCTCCTCCTCGTCCCCCGGGCCCTTCTGGCCCACGTCGCTGAGGTCCGGGTGCGGATTGAGTTTGGTGGGAAGGGTCTGCTCGCGGCAGCCCCCGCTGGACAGCAGCTCGCGCTCCTTGGAGTTCCGCCACTTCATGCGTCGGTTCTGGAACCAGATTTTCACCTGGTGTGCGAGGCGGGAGAGCAGGGCAGAGGCCGAGGTGAGCGCAGACCCTTCCTCGGAGATGAGGGCATGGGGCGGGGCACCGGCGGAGTGTGGGGGGTGGGGAGGCAGCTGTGACCTTCCCCTCCTAGCCTGTTCCCCCATCCCCTGATGTGGGTCTCGGCATTAAATCCCCTCACCGCCACCTCCACTCCTCGCGCCTCTCGCCGCACCCACGGGTCCCAGGCCCAGACGGTGGGAGGGCTGGGGGTTGGGGGACGCTGAGTCCCGGGAGGTAGGGCGGGGAGAGGAGTGGGCTGTCCCGAGCAGCCCCGAGAAAGCTGGGTCCTGCACGCATTCCCTCCCTAGGCCTTTCTTTCCCCTTCTGCACCAGGGGACCTAAGGGGTTCCAGAAAATTGTGAGATTCCTGGGGGAGGGGGGAGCTCGTGAGGACGGGGCTGTGGGGGGAGG